TATATTGAATCTCTGCAAGGTGCTTTTAATCTCTTCCTGGCTTTATCATCTTTGGAAGGGACATTTTTAACCATGCAGCCAAAGGATCTGCACCTACATAACAACTGATAGCCATTCCTTGGCTCATAAGATGGTGGAATTATAAAATGTATCTTTTTGATATGTAATTTTTGTTCTAATAATAATTCATCCTTCTTAATTTTAATACCCTCTCACAATTCATTGGAACTTTGTATTTTAGTTTATTTTCACTTCCTGGCCTCCCGATCCGAATCCAAATAAATGATTTCAAGAGGACAAAGCAACATCAAAGGGGGAAAGAAATCACTGGATTAATCTGACTCCTAAAAATAAAAGCTCAGCAGCATCTACTGCATTTCTTTGTTTTTAGTTCCATTAATACGCTAACCCTAACCCTGTCAAAACAGAAGACCTTCTCACATCATATGTTTGTATACATTCTGTACCACAGACAGTTGGACTGCATACCTACAGGCTGTAAATGCACGGTGGCAAACTTTACAGACACTGTATTTAATGTGACAGGTGTGATTGAACAGCACAAAGGCTTTGAAGTTTCTCTTCTCTTCTGGCAGGACAGGAATGTGGCCTTATACTGAGAACTAGACTGCCATACCTTAAACTCTTAACCCTTTTAAAGACAAAGCATTGATTTAATTAAAATATTTAACACTGATTACCTGTAACCACATTAAGACAATAAAAATATGTTTGGCTAAACATTCCATGCCTTTATAATTTAAAGCCATGGTCTAAATCTTTGAAAAATTAGAGCTGGTATTCAGATTGTGTACTTTGGTGTTTTTAGATATGTCAAGTGTTTTCTGAACTACATTAAACCCTTTGATTAAAATATCTTAAATTGGTAGAGCAGCAGCCTGTGTGAATACAAACACTTTTTATCTGTTAAACCTTCGTCCTTGGCTGTTAAAATGATCCCCATAATCTGCATAAACTTGAAAGGTTACATACAAGAGAAAACTATATGAAAAATTATACCAATCCAACCCTTGCAAGAAGTCCGCTGCCCCGGCCCCCCGACGCATGCCGGTCGGAGCCACTCTAAGCAGCCCCACCCGCCGCGATCAGCGGGAACAAAGCAGCTCCACCATGCCTCCAAGTGGGAAAACCCACCCGAAAACCCAATCAGCGCAGCCAGCCCATCCACACCAGCCCCCCAACACCACCCCCGCCGGAGCCGCCCAGACCCCCACACACCAGCGGTGCGCCGCCAGCAGGACCCCCACCCAACGGGCCTCTCCGCCCCCTTGAGAAAACAGACATGCCAATCCCCCCAAAGAAGAAGAAAAAACAAAAAACAAAAAAAACCCCGCTGCATTCTAACTTTTACTCTGGACATTGACTGAACTTGTTAACCAGGTAAGCGACTGATGTTCATAATGTTCCTCAGTTAGATTATTGGATTAAAGGAGCAGCGCATGAACCGAATGCAACACACGCAAATCAAACCGAGACAGTCAAACCAAACGGTTCGGATGGTTTTCATGAACCGTTCCATTCCTACAGGCCACCCTCGTGAAGTCTGTTTCTGATTGTTTGGTCAGAGACAGTCACACCAGTGGCCTGCTGGAGGTCATTTTATAGGGCTTTGGCAGTACTCCTCCTGCTCCTCCTTGCACTAAGGAGCAGATACCGGTCCTGCTGATGGGTTGCAGACCTTCAACGGCCCTGTCCAGCTTTCCTGTAGTAACTGCCTGTCTCCTCCATGCTCTTGAGATTGTGCTGGGAGACACAGCAAACCTTCTGGCAATGGCACGTATTGATGTGCCATCCTGGAGGAGTTGAACTGCCTGTGCAACCTCTGTAGGGTCCAGGTAGCGCCTCATGCTAACAGTAGTGACAGAGACCCTAGCCAAATGCAAAACTGATGAAAAAGTGTCAGAAAAGATGAAGAGAGGAAAAAATGTCACCTGTTGCAAATTCATTAACACCAAATCAGCTAAAACTGATTATCTATCTATCTATCTATCTATCTATCTATCTATCTATCTATCTATCTATCTGTCTGTCTGTCTGTCTGTCTGTCTGTCTGTCTGTCTGTCTGTCTGTCTGTCTGTCTGTCTATCTGTCTATCTATCTATCTATCTATCTATCTATCTATCTATCTATCTATCTATCATTTTAATATTAGTGTACTTTGCAATTCTTTCGCTCTCAATGATAGTAAAGCATTAAACAGACATATTGTCATAAAACTAGACAGATGGACCCAGTATTGAAGGTGATACAGTCAGTAGGAAAGTTCAAAAAATTTATTAAAATAAACACACAGAAACGGAACTGAAGCGCGGAACTGTGGACCGCAACGGCTGCAGGAAGGGGGCGGGGCACTGCCTAATCACTGACACTCTGGAGGGAGAAACACAGGTAAGTGACCATGCTCATTTGACAGGTGATAATCTCAGTGAGTCAGTTACCTGGTTTCACAGTTCAGTCCATCTCCTTAGAAAGGTGCATTACAGCTGATAGACTGCCAACAAGACGTCGCCTAGAGTGTTTTCCTGATGCTGCAGTCCCGGAGAACTTGTAGGAAGCCAATCCAGGTCAGGGGAAGACAGAGCAGGTAGGAACTGGTTAGTAACCCAGAAGGCCTCCGCTCCATCAGAGGTTCGACGCAAACAGGAACAGAGGGATCCAGGCTTCCAGGAATCCTCGGAGCGTAAAGGCAGGTTCAGAGTTCTGGGCATCGAGCAACCACCTCAAACAGAAACACACCGAGGAATAGTTCCATGTGTTGAACAACCAGCTCAGACAGAAATGCACAGACACAGACAGGCAGAAGAGGGAACAGAATCAGGAGATCTGAATCCCTAGGAAACGCTGATAGCTCACGCTATCATATAAAAGAATAGACACAGGTGGATGAGACGCGTCATAATTAGAAAACCAGGCAGAGTTAGTCAAGTGAGAAAAATGAACAATAAAGGTGAGCAATCAGGGCAGATCATGACACATATGGCATTGCCATTTATGTTTGTGCTAATTTTTAGCAAAATATAAAAACCCAACGGAAGCCGTCTGGTCATGCAGCTGCAGCAGCCACCCTTGTAGAGTGTCCCCACCAACTTTAATAACAAAGTTACACCCTTGATTAAATGTATCTCCAGTTTTGATAAAAATAGTAAATAAAAGCCCAAAATGAACATGACACGCATTCTTATAATGAACATTCAACCATTACTGAATGAATAACTTAAGGGAATTATGAAAGCATTTTTTTCATGCTTCTATTTCCTATAATAGCAGCTTTCAAATCTCCTTTTAGAGAACATGTACTCCACATTTGCTTGGGATAAGTTTTTGCCTCTTCAGTTTTAGGGCAACAAGGAAGTATATCATAGCAGTAGTGTCCATTGCTTCTCATTCAGTTAACTGTCTCAGTATGTGCTGCGTTCTAGTGTCTTATCAAACAGTAATCATAGGTGCAGCTGCCAAATGCAGTTGCATCTAAAACTTAAATATGTCCATATTAAGATCTCAGGTCTCATATGCTACTTTTCAGTTTGACTGAAAGAATAAGATAATCTGAAGTCTATTACATATTGAATGGTTAAGTTGCAGCAGTTCATGCAATGTCACTCTGGATTATACATTCCACTTCTCTATAGTCCTCCTTTGAACCCTTGCTGCTTGATGTCCTGCTGGGGTTTTTGCTCACATTTTCCACGTCCTATCGCATTAGTCTCACTCTTCCCCAGACCTTGTGGCTCAGCTCAAGATACTGCTCCTCAACTGTATTCCACTCTGTCAATTGGTTGCTTCGAGATATTATAATGCGGTGTGTTTTTTTTCCTTGAGTGGGGCTTGAGCGAGCATCAGAGTGCACGTTTTAATTGTAAGCAAGACACATCACTGAGGCTTACAGCTGAGATCAGTCAATTCATTTGGAAGTTCAAAGTGTTACTAATGCTTTGGCTTACAGCCAAGATCAAGGAGGCAGTGTGCAAACAACATGACAAGAAGAATGTTACCGCCTGTGAGGCAACATGTCATTTCTGTAAAAAAAAAAAAAAAATGATAGTGAGTTTTTCAGCGACATTAGAAGCATAATGTTAGCCTAGTTTGTTCATGTCCAAAGAATCACACTTCTGAATGACATGTTGGAGGATGAACTTCATCAGTCTGGATCTGGGGTTTAAAGAATGAAGTGTTCACAGGGTGTGTTTGCTTTAAGGACATATTAAATTGTTGGCAAGCAACCAAAGCCACACAGCAGGTCTTTTGTCCTCATATTGATTTAAAAAGCTCTCCTTTGCCTGCCAGCTGCAGAGGTCAGTGCATGTCCATTAGAAATTTCCATTTCATATCGAATTTCCTCATTAGGTGTATAACTCTACTCTGGCATTTGTGACAAATATAAGAGCTTTAGTAGAGCTAAACATGATAGCATCTGGTTGTCTTATACTAACTTGATGCTATGTGATTTTCTTTAACATCTTTAGAGATAACACAATATTTTGGGTAGAAAGATAAGAGAAAATGAAATATGAATAACCAAAGCATCTATTAAGATAAATATGATGTGACATCACACAACATCTCTCTGTGTTGTTTCATGATTACAAGCCGGGGCGGTTGCCTGTGTCTGGATGTCCATGTGAATAACTGCCACTCATAGCTTAGGCCAAAGAGAGCAGGATAGCATAGTAGCAAAATGGCATAAAGAACATTAAAATGTTCACCTGTAGATATTCAGTTGACAAAATGAAATTCTTTTGCTAAAAGCAGCATAAAGTTGTGTGTTACTACTCCACTTCATATGTTCCTTTATAGCGTTAACGCCGTTTTGCAAAAATGTGCATATGACCATACTGGTGAACAGGTGGAGTAAAGGTTGACAAGTTCTGCTTGTCACACATTTTGTTTTGGTCTACGAAGGGTGCCCAACAGCCCGCCTAGTGGTTGCATCATAAAAATTAGTCCTTTATTGATTATATAATTTTTTTGGTAACACTTTATTTTAAGGTACACCTATTCACTATTAATTAGTTGCTAATTAACATACAAATTAGTAACATATTAGCTATTAATTAGTTGTTATAAAGTACTTATTAATGTCTTATTCTACATAGCCTTATTATACAACCAGTAAGCCATTAACTAAGAGTCTTCCCTCAGTAACCTCAGAATTATTGCTTATTAGCACTAAGTAAGGAAGTTGTTGTATATTAATTATCATCTCAGTATGCTTTGCTTAGTATGGACTTTATAAGGCAGTAGTAGCCCAAGAATAGTTATTCTCCACTTAACATTACTTTTCATTACCACTTAGTAAATATGGTCTGTTCTTACATTACAAAACTAGCGTCCAAATAGCTCTTAATTAAGTCTTTGTTACTTAGAATATGTTCCCCATACTAAAGTGGCATCTTGATCATTACTAATTCACTAATAGTTGAACACTTATTCACCAACAAATGTTCCCTAAACTAAAGTTGCCTCCTTTTCACAATTAGTAAATATATTGTAGCACATAATTACTGCAATAAACAAGTGATGGGTTACACCTTTGAAAAAACTGCTTTATCTATAGGTTCCCTCTAATTCAGTGGTAAAATAACAAAGACAGCACAAGTATAAATTCCTCATTTATTAATCCACTGGTTCAGGTTTTCCAGAGGCTTACAAATACTGGTTGAACAGGTAAAAGGGTCTTCCTGAAATTTCAAATACTGACAACTCTAAGTGGATCCTACTGTATAATAACACAGGTAACCTAATGTTGAAAAACACTGCACAACAGAAAGTACAGAAAATACAAAAAAAAAAGAAATATAAAAAATATAAAATCTGCAGTTCAACATGACTTGTCAAAGGTTAGATCAAATGTACTGAACTGTACAAACATTGCACTTCCACAGCCTAAACTTGCTCTGTTATTACTGCATCAGATGATTTATTCCCCTGTGCACAAAACTTTCACTTTTGAAATACAACAGAATCTTAACTGAACATAGCAGCTTGCTAAGTCTTAATATTTCATCAACAAGGGGAGAAGTTGGCATTTGGCCTTCATGTCCTCTATAATGCGCTTCTTCTCAGGGGTTATGTGCGTTGCACACCTCTTAGCAAAGGACTGCAGGGTCTCAGTTGCAGGATCATACTTCAGAGTGTTGAAGGCTACAGGATCCACAATGTGGAGCTCTGCAATTGGAGCAGTCATCTTGATGGTTCCCCGGTCCACGCCATTGATTCTGAAGGCTTCAGTCATGGTGCGGACTTTGCTCAAGCTTTTCAAGACTTTTTTATATCTGCTGATAACCTCAGCTGGCCCTTTCACTGAAAAATATATAAAATAAAAAACACAAAAAATGAACACAACCCACAGCTTAAGGTCAACTGAATTGTCTTAAACTGGTCACTTCTCCTTTGATGAAGTATAAAACCTATTTTAGAAATTGAAGAATCTACTCATCTTCTGATATTATTCCACGCTCAATATGGGGTTCAGAACTTAATACAAAAATTATACTACTATATTGTAAGATCCGTTCAGTTGGTAAGTCTTATGACTGATATGAATGGTGTTTAATTCTGAGAGACAAATCTTTCTACCAATACATTTGACTACGGATAATAATTAGTGTGAATTCTGCAAAATAAAATGTAACTTTATTCTTGATAAAAGCCAAATTGTTTACTCATTTCATTTTTATTTATCATCAGATTTCCAGTATATTCAGAATCTAGAATTTAAAATCTGTATTTTTCCCTCATAATTACTTCAGGACATATTCATGACAGCTCTTCAAACACCTTTTTCATGACCAGTTGGTGCTAAAAGGGGAGGTGGTTCAAGTCAGCCATTCTTACCTCTTACATGAGCTTTTCCAACAACAGCAACAGTTGCAGGTGGCTATGTCTGCCGTTTCTTCTTTCTTTGGATGACAACGTCACTGTCCGAGGACTCACTGATGTCTGGAGAAGATGGGGGAATGATGTCATCTTCATCCATGTTGCCATCATCATCCTCATCGTTGTCCTCCAACGTTAATACTTTAGATTGAGCTTTGATAAAATAGAGAACAGATATAACAAAGATCAGATTGTTATGAAAATATATCACACCATTCATTGCAATTACATTATATTTTGCATATACAAGTTGCTCCCAAATAACTTACATGACCTCTTCTTTCCTGTGATTTGCTCACGCAAGAAATTGCGCTCTTGCTCAAGATCCTTTATCTTTTCTTGCCATTGGATTTTGGCTTCTAGGAACTCCACTTTGGAAATTGAATCTTAAAAATGAGAGCAGGATAGAAAAAGATTATGAATTTACGGTATTAAATGAGTGAGACAGAAAGAGAACGTCATGCATGCAACAAAGGTAGTTGACCAGATATGGTATGTGCCTTAATTTGATTTGCAAGCACAAAGTTGTATACTGTTAAAACTGTTTCTTCAAGCTAAGCAAAAAAAAAGAAAAAAAAAAATCACCCAAGAAATTAAACTCACTTTAGACAACAAAGATACACTTCTATAAAATGAGAAATCATTACCTGATCCAACGCTGCTTATGCTGCTGCAACTTGGAGCAGAGGCTTTATCTCTTTGATCTTCAAGACCTGCAGTATGACATAGGTACAACAAAATTTATACATATGAATAGATTACTTTAAATGTTTAAAGACATTTAGAATAGATAACTATTTAACTGTTACAGTTACTTGAAAGATAAAGAAAAATTTACCATCCAGATCCTTTTTGGTCACCACGGTCACCGAGTCATCTTTGGGGACTTTTAATGACATTTTTTTCTTGGCCTTAGGCTGTAAAAATATAAATAAATTAGTTTCGCTACATCTGGCAAAATCTAACTTAATGATAATCTACACAAGATTTAAAATCTCTTCTTGTTGAACAACTGCATATTGCCTATCCCCCCGCCCTCCCGCTCTTTCTCTTTTTTCGGCGGTGCACTCAAAATATAATAAAGTGTTGGCGTTACTTTCTGTCAAGTCAAGTCAAAAGTAATTAAAATGGCAACTCGTGTCGATTCGAGTCCCATTTTCTGGTTCAAGTTAATATTAAAGCATTATGCACCTTCACTCAGCTAGCTTGACATTACATTAGCTAATTAGCATCGACATTGCAGATAAACGGGAGTGTTTACTACTTTCACCATGTCAACGACTATGTAAACAAAGCTCAGGAGGACTTTCAACTGAAAGGTTAGCGGTTAACTTACCATTTTTCCCACACAAATTACCTTCTTCACTCTCCAAGCTGTAAAAAGAAACGTTAACGGTCACCTTCTCCGGATCTGACTGACAGGTGGCTCCCTTTGGATGAATGGATGAGAATGTCACATGACGGCAGAGTAACAATCAATGATTGGATGAGAGCAACACATCGAAGGAGCACGGCTACGGATTGGTAGATTCTTATGTCATTCACTACTCAACAAAGTGGTCACTTAGCGCTTTTTTTTAAGCAGTACTACCAGATTGTACGCATTCCCTTTTCACAGAAAGAAAGAAAGAAAAACTTAATGGAATGAGATGAAAAAGCATGAAATTATGAGAAGATGTTAGGTTATGAGTTTTTGAGTCGAATACATTTTAGACAGTGCCCCAAAGAAAACTACAGGTTCACCAGGTGGTTAATGAGAGAAGGCCTTCTTCGAAAATGGATGAAATGCCCCTCTTGCTCTCATGTCATGAAGTTGAAACGGACCTACTACAAAAAGGAAGCAGCATGGTGAGTAGAGCAACTAGACATGTGCCTTATGTATTAATTTTTTGTGTATAAGCATAGGGGAATGTGCAGCGTGCAGTCATCCAAGATCTGCTACACACAATATATATATATATATATATATATATATATATATATATATATATATATATATATATATATATATATATATATACATACAAACAGACATCTACAAAGTCACAATAGAAATCAAACACAGCTGCAAATGTTACACCCCTGTAAAAGGGGAAAATAGAAATACAACACGGACACGATGTAGCTCAGTCAAATCCAATGTTGTAATGGACGAACGAGAGCCACACGTTCCAAACGCAGGCCAGACGAGGCATTAGCAATCGAAAACAGATAATTCGATCCGAACTTAAAACTTACAGCAAGAGAGAGTTAAACTTAATAAAACAGCAAACAGCATTGTTACTTCCCAACACAAAAGAACACTGAATAGAAAAGCATTCTACATACAGTTTTATTTTTATGTTATTAACCTTTTTAACTAAGAAGAAAACCAACGGATTACCGATCTCTAGATCATTCAATTGTAACTTTAATAACAATGTCCGTTTCTATCATCTTTACATACTCCCCTCCAATACAGATGTCGTCCTCGGCATCTCAACCCACAAAATGGGTCCCAATTGAGCTCTGCATGTGATGTCAGATCACCTTAACCAATGTCCATATCCACACATTCAACTAATCCAGCAGTCCAGAAATGTGTGGTGCTTATCTAGATCTGCTGGTTTTCACCAGTCCATCATTGTGTGAAGAGTGAATGGATGTGTATTGGTAACACTCAGTTCATTCAACAGTCCATTTGTGAATGTATGATGTATGTGCATAACTCTATTTAACAGTCCATTTGTGTGAAGAGTGAATGGATGTGTATTGGTAACACTCAGTTCATTCAACAGTCCATTTGTGAATGTATGATGTATGTGCATAACTCTATTTAACAGTCCATTTGTGTGAAGAGTGAATGGATGTGTATTGGTAACACTCAGTTCATTCAACAGTCCATTTGCGAATGTATGATGCGTGTGCATAAGTCCATTTAACAGTCCATTTGTGTGAAGAGTGAATGTATGTGTGAAAGTGTGTTTTCACTCCAGCTGTCCGAAAGTCCACCAAATGATGTATAGTGAGTGTTCGTGGTTTTCATGCATGTCATATACTTAATATCCTGGTATAACGATAGGCTGATAGTCAAAGCACTGCACAGGTGTCATCCATGCCCATTCCCCTGGCATAGCTCCATGGGATGCTGGTGGGTACCAGTGCATGATGTTACTTTTGAGACCAGTGCTATTACAAGTAGGATTGCCCAACTGGTTATATGTGAACAATTTAGGAGGTCGTCTCTCTCTCACAGGTTGCTGATAGCGCTGTTCATTTCTGCAGTGAATTTCATGCTCTACAGGCAACTTTACATCAGGTATCTCTTCCTGCTCAGCTCCCTCTTGCACCATAGTCTCCTGTTGGCCTGAGATGACGCCATCTGTCAGGAAACTTCCATTATCCGGCTCCGGCTGGTAATTGTCCTGTTGAAGAAGCCCAGCATCCTGTGAAAGCGTTTCTACTTCCTTGACAGTCTGTGGTCTGTCTGGGTTGTTCTGAGGCTGTGTCACAGGGAGATGCTGATCCATTGGCGGATAGTAATCGCAGTCACTATCCTCATCGTCTGTGTCCTGATTTTGGTGCTCTGTCCTTTTGGGGGTCCCTGCTGTCGTTCTTGGTTTTGCTCTGGCTGGTTTCAATTGTATCTCCAGTGGTAAATGGTCACACGGCAGTAGCAAGCTACGATGCAGTATTCTACGTCCTCTTGCTTTACCTTGTTCCGGTAACACTACATAAATGGGCATATTCTTGCCCACCTGACGGATAACTCTGTGAATGCAATCTTCCCAATGGTTTCGAAGTTTCCCTGTTCCGCCTCTGGGTGTCATGTTCCTAACAAGAACTCGATCGCCCTCATGTAATACAGAACTTCTTATTTTGCCGTCATAATTTTTCTTACTCCTGTCAGCACATTTTCTTTCATTTGCCTTAGCAATCTCAAATGCCTCTTGCATCTGCTCTTTCCACCTTCTCATATACTCTTGATGGTCAGTAGTTCCAATTTCTGGGGTTACACCAAATAGCAAGTCTACCGGCAATCTGGGCGGCCTGCCAAATAGGAGGTAAAAGGGGGAGAAGCCTGTGGCTTCACACCGAGTACTATTGTATGCATAGATAAGCTTGGGCAGTGACTGTCTCCAATCTGACTTCTGCCTGTCTGTGAGTGTTCTCAGCATTTGCAATAGTGTTCTATTCAAACGCTCCACCTGTCCGTTACCTTGCGGGTGGTATGGTGTTGTTCTGGAGCTCACCACTCCACAGTTCTTCTTCAGCTGTGCAACCAGCTGGTTTTCAAATTCTCCACCCTGATCATGATGAATTCTCAGGGGGAATCCAAACTTCAGTGCATAGTCATTGAATATCTTATCTGCTACTGTTTTTGCAGATTTTGTCGTGGTGGGGTAGGCTTGTGCGAAGCGTGTGAAATGATCTACGATGACCAGTATGTATTCATATCCACCTTTACACTTGTCTAGGTGCAGGAAATCAATGGATACCAGTTCAAACGGCTGAGTGGCGACAATTGGCACGAGTGGGGCTTTTGTTTCTCGACAGGGTTTTTTCTGTTTGAGGCATGTACACGTTTGAGTGACATAATGTTCAATCTCTCTCTGCATGTGAGGCCAGAAAAAGCGATCCCGTACAAGTGATGTTGTTCGTTCCACACCTTGATGTCCCATGTCATTGTGGAGCTGTTTCATGACAACTAACTTGTATTTTTCAGGGAGGACGAGTTGAGTCCTGTTCTCAGTCTTTCTGTGAAGTATTCCATCTCCATCAAAACTGAGTTTCTCCCAGTCACGGAAGAGACGTCTGCTCTGTGTGCTGAATGATTTTAACTGCTGTCCCCTCGGTCTCTCATTTGACTGCTTACAGACAATGACCGGTCCAATAACCTGGTCATCCTTTTGAGCTTGACAGAGAGCTTCTCTTGAAAGGGGTATAGGCATGTCCTCATCTGTTTCTAGACATCCAGCAGCCGTTACCGACCACACAATGTGTGGGACACTCACCTCCACTGCTTGTACTATAGTTTGAACGGAGAGGGAGGGCATTTCCTCTGAACATTCTTCCATCATTGTCTCGATGTCACAGGGCATCCTTGAGAGGCCATCAGCATCACAGTTCTCTTTGCCTGGGCGATATTTGATTGTTAGGTCAAAATCTGCCAATTCAGCAACCCACCTATGCCCTGTTGCATTCAGTTTAGCTGTCGATAGCACATAGGTAAGTGGATTATTGTCTGTATACACCACGCAAGATGAATGGATAAGGTAATCTCGGAAGCGCTCTGTAACGGCCCACTTCAAAGCCAAAAATTCAAGTTTCCCTGAATGCAAGTGGTAGTTTCTTTCTGCTTTGGTCAGTGTGCGAGATGCATATGCTATTACACAAAGTTTCCCCTCTTGCTCTTGATATAGCACTGCACCTAAGCCTTGCTGCGAAGCATCCGTGTGTAAAATGAACGATCGGTTGAAGTCTGGGAATCCAAGTATTGGTGGTTCAACCAAGCAATCAATCAACTTCTCCAATATTTGCTGATGTTCTTCAGTCCATGTGATTGGCTTGTGTGATGGTGTCCCCTTATACTTTCCTTTTACTCTGTCTTTCCTTACGTCCTGGTCCTCCTGTTTGCCTGAGCCAGGGTCTGATTCCATTAGGGCATAAAGAGGGTTGGCAATACGGGAAAAGTTCTGAATGTACTGTCTGTAGTAGCTCAGTAACCCCATAATGGTCCTCAGTTCTCCTACCGTCCGTGGCTGCTTTTCCTTTAAGGCTCTGATGGCCACAGTATCAGCTGGATCCATCTTACTGCCCTCAGCTGACACAATACGCCCCAAGTAACGAATCTCACGCTTAAACACTTCACACTTACTTGGTTTCAGCTTTATCCCGTACTGTCGTAGTCGCTGAAGGACAGTCCTCACATGATCAATGTGATCCTCAAAGGTTCTACTGAAGACCAGTGTGTCATCTAAATATGGGACGCAGATCTCATCCCTTAGCCCCTCCAAACATTCTTCCATACAACGCTGAAAAGCAGCTGGAGCATTCATCAGACCAAAAGGGATTCTGATCCACTCATAGAGACCCCACGGTGTAACAAAAGCGGTTATGTGCCTGCTCTCCTTCGCCATCAAGCCCTGATGGTACGCTTTCCCCTGATCCAAAAGCGAAAACCACGAGTTCCCTCCAAGACCATCCATTATGTCTTGCACTCTTGGGATAGGTTGCCGGTCAGGAAGTGTTTTCTTATTCACCTCACGAAAATCTATACATAGACGGAGGCTCCCATCTTTCTTTCGAACGCACACAACTGGTGATGCGTAAGGTGAATTTGACTTCTCCACCCAGCCCTGAGCAATGAGGTCACTTAAGTAGTCTTTCATTTCCCGATAAAGTGGCTTAGGTACAGAGAGGTATGCTTTTGCAACAGGCTCAGTGTCTTTCAGTGAGATGCTGAGTTGAAGTTTTTCTATATAACCAATATCATCATCTGTTCTTGAGAAGGAAGCACACTCTTCCCTTAACATCTTGTGAATTACTTCTCGTTCTGGCTCACTGAGGTGGCTTAGATCCACTGGTGGGTCCCAGATATTATCTGTAGTCTGGTTAGTTTTAGCTTCGATATGATTTGTTGTAACTGAAGGTAATGGGCGGGGGCCCCTCTAGTATGGAGGCAGGGTACACCGCTTGGACCAGTTGGACAGTCCCCAAGACAGTTTTTTCCGCCAACAATATATCATGATCTGTGATGTTCTGCACGCTTAGAATTACAGAAGGTTTCCTGCTGCCCTTATTTACTGTTACAAGTATTTCACACAGTTCAAGTCCTTCTGTCCAATGTGGATTTGCATTTGGCTCAAAGAGAAGTATTTTGTCTTCACACGGGGAATCCATGTTTACATGGCACTCAACCCTGACTGAGGTACGCTTGGGAATGTTAATCCGTTCCCTTTTGGTCTTGACCATGTACTCATCCACTGGCGTGGTACTAACTTGTTCCACAATAGCGGTTACGTGTTCTACAAAAGCTGCTGGCTGGCCTGGGAATGCTGCCCTTACTGTCATACTTAACCCTTCCCTGTCAGATGTGCTTGAACATCGCAGCTCACTGTCTAAAATAATCTTAATCACATTAGACCCAATAATAGGCTGAGCAAGCTTACCAGCCTTCATTACCAGTGTGGGGACAATAACTTCTGTGTTGGATGCAGCCCCTGAAGCCAACCTGAAAGTTATCTCAACCCAACCTGTATATGGCATGCTTTCCCCATTCGCTGCCCTTATGTCAAAAGCCTGTGTTATGTCTAAAATTTCTGAAATGTCTCTTAGTCTTGCGTCTGGCAGGTGTGATTCTTTCCATTCCTCATCAATTATAGTCACTTGGGAGCTTGAGTCCCACAAAGCCTGAACTCTTCGGTTTTGAATGAAGCATTCAACCATATGCTTTTCCCCTACCAATGGTGCTCTTTTAGCCCTTTTGTTTCTGTTTGGGATCGTGTTGTTGGTTACACACAAGTGTACTTGACATCTTCTTTTGTGTTCAGACCAGTTATCAACTTGACATGACTTAGAGCAGTAGCACACTTTCTTACAAGATGCACATTGCTTTAGAATTACACCTTTACCGCCCTGTCCACAATGAGCACATTGCTGGGACATTGCTGCAGAACTGGTCACTCCCTGTCCCGTGCGAGTGACCTTCCACCGTTTAAAGGCTCACCTCCCGGGTGTCTCTGTACTCTTGCTGGACAACCAGCCTGAAAGTGGTCAATACTGCCACATCTATAACAGTGTGTGCAATAATCTTCAGTTCCGCTGTGTTGGCAGTTAAAACATTTTCTTCTCTGGTCACGATTTGGTGGGCGAAAACTATACTGTGGGTTAAACCTTTGCTGGTACGGGACCATTCCCTCTCTGTGTCTGGAGCTTGGAGCCAACCAGCATCCCTGTGCCAACTCTTGCACCTGCTGACCTGAAAACTGCAACTCTGCTGCACCATCAGCCACACCTGCTGCCAGTGGTTGTTTTGGCATGTACTGGGGCTGTTGCATGGACTCCCTAATATGATGAACTTCAGCTTTCAGATCTTTTAATAACGCCATTTCAGATTTAATTTCCTCAAGTTGGGAAAGAACACTTGGGGAAACTTTACTCTTTTGTTGAGTTGGTTGATTTTCATTCTTTTCAACAGGAGTATCACTGGACTGAGCTGAATGGACAGTAACAGGTCTTTGTGACCCTGACATTCTTTTCTTGTTCTGCCTCTCATTCTCATAAGCACATGCTGTGTTCATTCTCTCTAGTAACAATTCATCAGAGATGTCAGTTTGCTCCAAATAAGGCTGAAGATCTCGCCTGATATTATCATTCTGCAGGCCAGTTAACACAGTATGAAGAAACATCCTCTGCACTAACCCAGGGTCGTACTGGAGACCAGACTCAGACTCCTGTGAGGCAAACAGAATTTTCTGTCTCAGGTCAAAAGTGCGAATAATGAAGTTCTGTGGAGTTTCTTTGGTGCCTTGTACCTCTGAAGTCAGCTGCTTATACAGTTCAGTTGCACTTTTCTCTTGATAATGACACCTGAGTATGCGCCTCAGTGTGGGTAAGGTCAGGTTGGTTCTGCCCTCCAAGTAGCTGCGGAGTTGCATGCCAGGGGATATTGCCCTTATCACCGCATCCACTATCTCAAGTTCAGGAAACCCTTTGTTTGAACCATGTTCAATCTGTCGAGCCAAACTTGAAAAGGTTAGCTTGTCTTTTTGGCCAGGTTCACCAATTTGACCAGCTATTTTAAAGTCCTTGTGCCAGGGGTGAGGGGCAATACTGTGAACTACACTCTGTGCTGGCTGTCTGGTGGTAGTGGTGCTGGTGATTTTTGTCTCTGATTTGTTGCTCTCATCCTGTCTGGGTGTGCTTGATAACTGAAACTGCAAGCCCTGGACTTCCTCCAATCTTCCCCCCTTGTCCCCTTCATTTTGTCCACCTCCTTCTCTTGATGTGCCAGCTTTGCCAGCTATCTGAAGCTCAGAAATTTTGTCTTGCAGGTGGAGTAAATCAGCCATACCTTGATCCTCAAGTTTTTCTAGCTCTTCTCTTTGTATGTGATTTGAGATTAGTGTGATGAGGGCAGCTCGGCCCCTGTTGGTGGTATGTCCAAACTCTGCTCCAGTAATGGTCAGATAACCACACAGCTCCACCAAACCCTCTCGGGAAAGCTGACACAAAGCTCTGATTACTTCAAACTTTAACTCTTCTACTGCTGATGACTCCATCTTCTCAGCTGAATGTGTGTGCTAACAGTGAAGTGGTATCTTACTATTTTTGGGTAGTAGTAGATGCTCTCCTGGTATGCTGAAATACCTCAGATCACATGTAGGCTGCCCCAAAAAGGTCTGAATGCCGCTGCCGCTGTTTATCCACCTGTGTCTGATTTTCTGGGTTGTTAAAAGGGATGTGTGACGGCTGGGTACATCTCTTGCGGACGCTTAACCATGCTGCACACCATCCCAGCGGTGCCTCCAAATGTTACACCCCTGTAAAAGGGGAAAATAGAAATACAACACGGACATGATGTAGCTCAGTCAAATCCAATGTTGTAATGGACGAACGAGAGCCACACGTTCCAAACGCAGGCCAGACGAGGCATTAGCAATCGAAAACAGATAATTCGATCCGAACTTAAAACTTACAGCAAGAGAGAGTTAAACTTAATAAAACAGCAAACAGCATTGTTACTTCCCAACACAAAAGAACACTGAATAGAAAAGCATTCTACATACAGTTTTATTTTTATGTTATTAACCTTTTTAACTAAGAAGAAAACCAACGGATTACCGATCTCTAGATCATTCAATTGTAACTTTAATAACAATGTCCGTTTCTATCATCTTTACACAAATTTAAATTTTTAAGTGAGCACTGTATATTTGGTAGAGATACTAAATATACGAAGTGCTACATGTGTACAAAGTCTGAAATGAAAAATGCCTTTTAAAAAAGTTCACATTACTCGACATATTGTTCACTTATGTATTATTATTATTATTATATCAGCTTGACTTTAAACTTGTACATGCACAGGGATTTATTGATATCATATCACCCTTTCATGTCGTGGCACAGTGACAAGTAGGCACAGCTAAATTTACTCAGTTTACATAAATATCTGTCCCCCTCTTCATCTTCATTTATGTTACAGTTTATTTAGTAAACTCATTACAGTATCATGGGTTTTTATTTTTACAAATTAACCTTTGGATTTAATTTCAGGATTTGTCGAGATTCCTGTCACAAAGGGAAAACAGTATCAAGGTCGATCCGGACTGGCTCCATCTTCGAGAAATCGCACCTTCGGCTGCAAACGTGGATGCATTACATCTACAGGTGCATGGTTTTACATTTTATAATAACAACAGCCATCAAAGACAAAATTAAATTCAGACCATAATGTTTCTGTTAATATTCTCTTGCTATACTGTTGGTTGGGATGGGTCCTATTAGACCCAATGCTTATGTGACATTCAGTATATGGGAAGAATTCTGAATATCAGTCAAATTTATCAAGTATGTGTAATTGTGTAAGTTCTGGGTTGCGAACACTCCATTGTAGTACAAAGGTCTCATGGATTTTTAGGTTTTAGGTGGTTCCAGGAAATTTTCTCAAAAAAATTAAACTTTTTAAATCAACACTTCACTATACTAATTTACTCAGTATCCATTTTATTTTCTTACAACTCTTCAAAGATACAGCAGATTTAATTAATTTGGGGTTTCGTTCCATTCAGCTCTTCATATAGTGAATGCTCTTTACCCTACTTTGCGTTTGACATTGGTTGTTTGAGGTTAAAAACACTTTTCTATTCAGTCTATGAGTATCTGCTGTGTCTGAAAATGGGACTGCAAATGAGGAATTGTGCAGTGTTGTGCCTGAACGCGTTCATTGAACGAAAGTTCATGAACTCGTTCATATTTTGGGCGAACGTGAACTGAACGTACTGTATTACTGCCTGATGAACGTTATCGTGAACTCGTTCATTCTGGTGTCTGTGAACGGCACGCTCTCTCAGTTCAACTCTGTTCAATAGGTTGCCAGATTTCTATAGAGCCCTCCAGGCGAAACCCCGGCTAAATCACACCGTAAACAGGCCTTAATATGTAGCGGGGAAAACACCCAATCTGGCAACACCAGCTACCAGCGTCGTAGCCTACAGCCGCGTGCGTCATCAAAACAAAATGCAGCGTGGAAGCCACAGCAGCGTGGAGACGACCGTGGATGCGAAAAAGTAGCAGTATGATCACTTAAAATAGTTTTATGACCAGGTGGTCGGTGAGGATGATGGCAACAATCTTACATTTCTCTGCAAACTTTGCCCGCCGGCTTTCAGTGAAAAAATCCGCACTTCAGTAACCTTAAATTCCTACCTCAGCCTGGTCCCTCAGTTTGTGTTAGTAAAATGTTCTTGAGGGTTTTACTATTCATGTAACTTGTTTGTTAAACCTGCCTGGTATCATTTTCCAGGATTCCAATATTCCTTTTTAGAATGTACTGAAATGGAATTTCAAATTGAAAAAAATATTAAAATAAAAAAAACATTTGCACCTTAAAGACTACTTTCCTGTTTTTCTTTTAATAATTCCTCATAAAAAAGACCATCAAGCGGCACATTTTTCCTGATGTTTTTTGAGAATATACTGTAGGGGTGAAAGCTGCAGCTGCTACTAGTGTGAAGTGAATGGACAGCAACAAAGCATTAAAGCAACAATAGGGAAATGCTGTCCCCTCAATGCTAATGTAAACCCTGGTTGGGTAAGGATTCAAAACTGGATATGAAGATGAAATCTGACGAACAGTTTCAGTGTTACAACTGATGAAATAATTGCTGTCTGTGGTTCTACAGTAGGCTATGGTGTAATTGTACGGAGCCCCTCTGATGACATGGTCAAAAAATTTTTTTAATTGTGGCCACGAAGTAGTATTTGGTGCGCATGAAATAGCTACTACTTCGTGGCCACGCAATAAGTTTAATGTGCGCACGAAATACTTATTAATAATATTAACATCATTCCTGGACAACTGGGTAAGCAAATCGAGCGCGCCTTAGACCTTAGAGAAGGCGCGCTCGATTTGCTTACCCAGTTGTCTAGGAATGATATTAATATTATTAATAAGTATTTCGTGCGCACGAAATACTACTTCGTGGCCACAATTAAAATATTTTTTTGACCATGTCATCAGAGGGGCTAAAATTGAGCAATATATGAAAAAAAAAAAGAACTATGAACTAGTTCATTTTTTGGAACTGTGAACTATGAACTGAACTAGTTCATTTTAAAATGTGTGAACTGAACTTTGAACTAGTTCACGTAGAAAGAGAACTTTCCCAACACTGGAATTGTGGTTATAAAAAGGTTAATAACAACTCAAGAAATTGGTTTTAACCACTCACTTCTGAACTGTGTCATTAGAATATTTATCTGGTTGATCTTTTACAGATTTGCTCAAGGCCTTCGACTAAGGCAAGTGGACATGCTGCAAGAGGGAATTACTCAGAGTTCTGCAACTCTGAGTAAACTTGCAGACAAGCTGCGGAGAGTTTGCAAATCAGGAATGAAAAGAATGAGAAGAAGAGGCAAGCAGACCGTTGGACAAAGGACAGAGATTGTTATGATAGATGAAAGCAAATTTGGCCATAAAAGAAAGGTATGAAATTTATACTATGAGTATTATTTCAATGCCAAATACACGATTTTTGTGTCTAAAAACATGTTTTTGATGTTGCTTAAGTCTGTCCTAATCTAAGCTACTGTCTGTGTAGGGGTTGGTAAAAATATCGATTTACTGACCAATCGCAATACTTTCCTGTGCAATTCAATATCAAATCGCAAATCCTCTGAATCAATTCCCCTCCTGACCAATGAGGGGAGCTGTATTTGTTATTAACATTGTATGGACAAAGGCGATGTTAGATCATACAACAAAAAAATTGCAAATATTTTTTTGATTTTCAGATGTTTTATTACACAAAAATATGACTTGACATACTACATCTGGTCACATGGGCATGAAAATAAATATTAAAAAATCTACAACAGAGTTCCTACTTCTTACTGAATTGACATTGAAGCATTTAAATTTAGATTGAATCGAAATGAAATTGCGACCCCAAGAATCTAAATCTAATTGAGTTGTGAGATTCTTACAGTAACAATACTCAGCCCTAATCTGTAGAGACAGTATACATACATTTAAACCTGATTTTGCCTAAGGTGCTTGGAGGTTTGTCTCCTGGATCTCGAGAAGTAACTACTGCATTATAGAATAAGAAGAATTGTAGTTCATTGATGCATTCGAGAGGAATGTCACTTTTAAGAAACTGCATTATTTCTACACCCCAGAATAGTTGGTAAACATGAACCACGACTCCAAAATTAAAGAGAACTCTCCCATGTCTCACCATTATTGCAGAATCATTGTCCCCATTTTTAAATATTTACTCTTGTGAATTTCAGTACAACAGAGGACGGGCAAGCAACAGGAGTTCCTGGGTATTCGGAATGCTAGGGATTAAGGATGACAGAAGGAGACCCATCCTTAAGATTGTGCCTCACCGTTCAGCCAGGCATCTCTTGCCTCTAATAAAGAAGCATGTTCGTCGTGGAAGCTCCGTCATTTCAGATGGGTGGAGGTCTTACCGCCGTCTTCAGGATGAAGGTTACAACCACCTGACTGTCAACCATCACGATTTTTTTGTTGACCCTGTTACAGGTGCACATACACAAAACTTGGAGAGATTTTGGGGTATTTGCAAATCAACTATTTGGAGACAAAGAGGGAACCGCACACAAAAACTGTTGAGGGATCACTTAGATGTAATTGAGTGGACATATTGGCGTGGAAACCATCACAGTAAAGGACCACTTGGAATGCTTTTGCACGACATTAGAAAAAAATATCCAGTATAAAACCTGCCTGAAATATAGATAAAGATATCAACTTCATATTTATACTACAACCACTAAAAGGTTTGACACACTAAATGTACTGCTTTCTCTGGGATAAGGCTCTTTCACGGACATGAAGGCCAAATGCCAACTTCTCCACTCATGTTGAACTGTGCAGATTTTATATTTTTTATATTTCTTTTTTTTTTTTGAATTTTCTGTACTTTCTGTTGTGCAGTGTTTTTCAACATTAGGTTACCTGTGTTATTATACAGTAGGATCCACTTAGAGTTGTCAGTATTTGAAATTTCAGGAAGACCCTTTTACCTGTTTAACCAGTATTTGTAAGCCTCTGGAAAACCTGAACCAGTGGATTAATAAATGAGGAATTTATACTTGTGCTGTCTTTGTTATTTTACCACTGAATTAGAGGGAACCTATAGATAAAGCAGTTTTTTCAAAGGTGTAACCCATCACTTGTTTATTGCAGTAATTATGTGCTACAATATATTTACTAATTGTGAAAAGGAGGCAACTTTAGTTTAGGGAACATTTGTTGGTGAATAAGTGTTCAATTATTAGTGAATTAGTAATGATCAAGATGCCACTTTAGTATGGGGAACATATTCTAAGTAACAAAGACTTAATTAAGAGCTATTTGGACGCTAGTTTTGTAATGTAAGAACAGACCATATTTACTAAGTGGTAATGAAAAGTAATGTTAAGTGGAGAATAACTATTCTTGGGCTACTACTGCCTTATAAAGTCCATACTAATCAAAGCATACTGAGATGATAATTAATATACAACAACTTCCTTACTTAGTGCTAATAAGCAATAATTCTGAGGTTACTGAGGGAAGACTCTTAGTTAATGGCCTACTGGTTGTATAATAAGGCTATGTAGAATAAGACATTAATAAGTACTCTATAACAACTAATTAATAGCTAATATTTTACTAATTTGCATGTTAATTAGCAACTAATTAATAGTGAATAGGTGTACCTTAAAATAAAGTGTTACCATTTTTTTTGTCTAGGTTTGACTCTTCTATTTTCCATTTCTCATAGTTTTTCTGCTTACCTAAACAGGCAGTGGTCATGATTCCAGAAGGTGCACTGAAGATAGTAGTTTTGTGTTTTTACAAATCAGAAAAAAAGTTTCTGTGCAAATGGTCCAATTGAGGTGCATTTATTTAATACTTGTGTAAGGCAAATTAATAATCTGTAGCACCCAAGATAAGTTCCAAAAAAACCTTCCAAATGAGGCAAAGCGACGCCTACGCACCCCCCTACAATGGCCCCCTGCCTGTGGCCCCCCTACCAAAGTTTGGTTTTAGCCAATCACAGTTACAAATGAAATAACAGCAGATGCAATGAGAAACCATGTATAGATTTGTCAGACAAAACAAATGTGATAGCAGCAGCTTATTAATAACTTGTACCATGAGACCTTTTTACATCATTTAATTTTTACACCAAGACTGACTTCTATTTGTCATGTTATAGATGCATGCTTTGCATTGTTCTTTCTGTTTTTCATTACTGTATAACTCTGTTCAGTACAACAGTTAGCAATAATCAATTTTATCAGATTATTGTGCATATACTTTCTGCTTCAATGGCATATATTGCAGATAAGAATGGCATATATAAAGCAATATGATAATAACCATCATTTGATTACCCGATAAATAAAGGTGCCACAGCATAAACAACTTCAAGTTCACCAAAAGAACAGTAAAATTTAGTTCCTAGATGTTCATTCGACACATAAAAATGAGAAACATAGATACTACAACAAAAGTAACACACCACGTCCAGACACAACCAGCAATATTCACACCGCTGTTCCCAATCAACATGCATCATAAAATAAGAGTTTATAAAAAAACAACCTACAACACATACATCAAACAGATAATAGGACCTGATGTTCCACAAAATCGTCCTCGTTTCCTTCCATTTAGACCCACTTCATACTTGCTTATCATTATGTCAGCATAGATAGCCTGAGGAAAAACTGTTTAAAAGTTTCTTTTAAAATTTTCTCCAGGTTGTCTAGGAGGCTATGACTAATGTATTTATGTAAGATGTGTGTAAGCAGGGAAACCAAAACCTTGGAGTACATTTGCTTTGAACATTACTGGTGAAGTGAGATGTATGAGTAAGAATTCCAATAACAAAAAAAACTTACTTGGAAACCCTTACATCTCATTGAACATTAAAGATACTCTCACACTTGCACAAACGATTTCTGGTGAAAAATATTGCACTTCCAACTATTTGACAGTTTAATGTTTTAGCACATGAGCTTTTAGCTCACAGCAGCAATTTTCAATCTTCTTTGCATAATATGGTTAAGTGATCATAAGGTTAAAGTCACAATTCTTAATGAAGCATAAACAATTTGCTCCTTGACTCTCTGTGTTTCCAGGTACGATTTAAGACAGAGTTTAGGAAAGTGGAGCAGTATGATTGGAAGTGTGACTCCAGCGGCTGGAGTCAGTGGTAATTAGGTTTATAGGCGGATGCATTTCATCATGCCCACTGAGTGACAAGATGAGCCCTGTGTTCTAATGTAATCCGTCCACAGCGCTGCCCATAATGACTCAGTCCCAATCCACAGCATATAAAGACATCTCTTTAGTGGAGCCGCAGTAGGCCGGATGAGCTGGGTGCTTTAGGCTGACTGACATCGGTCCTGTCTCTGGTGACTGAAGTCTCCTCGACCCACAGCTGAAGTGGGCTTCACCTAGGCCGAATATGAACAGAGGCTGCATGGCTAAGTTTCCCCTTATTTAAAGATAAGATAAGGCTAACGAGTGTAAAAGCCCCGCAGGGAAAGGGATATTCAAGATAATGGAGATCTACTTGAAGCATTAGGTATATTGGAGCAGGCAGATATTTCTAGGTTGTGTGAAGTGAGAACTGTTCTGTATTCAAAGCAACTTTAACAACTACAGTCACACTTATAAAACAAAGAGGACATGTCACCACCTTTGATTTGTTTTTGTTTTCCAACTTGCTTTTTTTGTACATTTATGTTCTACTCATTTATGGGAAAAAAAGAAAATATAATGAAAAAAAGTGACATCAAGGAGTGCTGTGTAGAAAGTTCAGTCCCTAGTTCCTCTGCTCTCTCCTTTCATTCATCTTTAATGAAGAACAAGGTTCCTTCAGCAAAGTCAAAGCTCTGCTAACAGTTTGGTGTGGCGACTCTCAGGAACACAAGTATAAATCTAGGATGAAGGTGTACCTCACCAAATGCCAAAGGGCTCAGAGGTAAATGAATTATGAAGCACTTGTTCCAGGTGACTTCTGTCTGATTTTCCACCCCCTGCCTTCATTTGAGTTTAAAGCCACAAGAAGACTTGCTGAATCGAGTGAGTGTTCTCCAGTCTTATTTGCTCTGATAAAAATAGGCCTGTTGCACAGCTCCTAACACCACTGTAAATCATGAAAAAATGAACAACAGTTTTTCAAAAGGTTGACAAAACACACTGCACACAGCACCTTTGCTTACCTTTATTATTTAAAAGACTTAAAGCCAGCTGTACCTGTATTTCCTAATGCAACCATTTTAACTTGTATACTCTTATTTATACTTTGTATCATTTCAAACAAATGTAATGATCCATTTACTTAGAAATGAACAAAAGGACATTATGAATTTTTCTTTAATTGAAGAGTCAAACCCTTATCTGAATTCTAAGAAGTCCAAAAAGATTAAATATTTGTGTATCCGTCTTGTATGTTGATAGACATACTTGTATGTCAATGTACTTCCACCCACCCCACAGTTAAACAACTAAACTGAGTTAACTAACATTGAGTCCTTCCGTTTTTCATAGCATCTACACTGAAGAGTGTTTTAGCAGGATGTAGCAGTTATTATATATAATGTGTTTAGTAATTAAAAATGATTAACTTTTTGAATTTTATCTGGCTAGTGCAAGGTTAAGCTTATATAGTGGGGAGTGTTGGAGTGGGGAGTGTTGGCCTAGTGGTCAAGGGTGCAAGTACCTGGTTCAATCCCCATAGCCTCCACTCTGGGTGTCTGAGCAGACCCTTAACCCCACACTGCTCCCCAGGTGCCGCACAATGGCAGCCCACTGCTCCCCAAGGGGATGGGTTAAATGCAGAGGTAGAATTTCTCCAATGTGAGATCAATAAAGTTTGATTATTTTTATTATAAAAACCAAAAATCTGCTGAATTAATGTATCTCTGAACAGATAGATTATCATGTTACTTTTTTAGATTTTGATCTGCAGTCTCAGAGTTTTTGTCAGCCTCTTTGCCCACTGGGTGCCCTTCTAAATGTATTAAGGAGAGAGAAAAGATATGTTGTATCATGTTTCCTCAGCTTTTCATCTACAGTGTGGCTCCTAGTGATGAGTGATATATTGGTTCCTCAAATTCCATACCAATTATAATTTAGCTTCCCTTATACATAAGTTTTTCATGTTCCACCATGCATTAGCATAGCTGAGAAAACAACTGTAAGGCTTTAACAGATGCCACTAGAGGGGCTGCAGAGCATTGTGTGGAGCAGAACCTGCAAACAGCATACAGGGAAGAAATCAGTAGCAATGTAAAATAATCTAATCGCAAACAGTTGCAATTTTGTTCTGACTCATTCATACTGTATATAGTTGTTTTGTGGAACAGAGTAATTTATACATTGTTACAGCCTTATTTAAAAGCTGTGTACTCCCGACAGTAAAATAAGCCCCTGACAGATAAAAGCCTATTCGTTTAAAAAAGCAAATAAACTTAAAAAACAAAGTAGCCGGAATCCTCTAAAAGCTGTGATACCGGAGAAAACCAGATCCCTTCCAATACCGCTTCCTTATATGCTGCAGGCTGCCAACCTCAGCCTCCCCGGACCCTCTGGCCCTCCTCTTCTTACTCCCTTAATGGTTTTAAGTAGAACTCCGGTTCTACTCAAAACCGATTCACGATTGAGATCTGCCAATCATTCCAAAATATCCCCTGATAACTGGCTCCAGAAGAACCCTTCATTTTCTCTTTCTTGGTTTAATAAAA